GAAAATTAATAAATAAATAGATAAATATAAACGAGGGGGATATTTAAAAAAATTATAAACAATAAAAGACGAAAGGATAATTAACTATAAACGTCATAATAATTATTTATTAATTTATTTTTCAGGACGGGAAAAATTCAAAAGAAAAATTGAAAAAACCGGAAAAACCGAAAAAGATCAGACGGAGGAAAGAAAAATTAAAAACTCATGACGTCATTATTCAACACCACCCGAAAGAGTTATAATAAAAATCAAAAGGTAAATGCGTGTTTACGTGCGTGCATGTGCATCTTCCACGTCATCCTATTCATATTTCGATCATATGTTATTTTGTTTTAAAAAAAAACGCGGCGTACATTTTGTTTTCGTCCCGTACTATACCCAACATTTTAAAATTTATTATCATTAATTTAACGTCTGACAAATTACCGACAAAAAAAAAAATTGTGAAAAAAATTACAATTTTTTTTTTTTTTTATTTCTGACCTGATTTAAAAAAAAAAAAATTTTAATTTAAATTTTACGATTTTAGAAAAAAACGGAAACGACAGCAGCAAGTACAACAACTTCTTAAATCGATCGATACTTTGACTGACGACAGCAAAAATTCTAACATAAACAATATCATATAGTAATAAACGTGAATGGGGGGGGGGGGGTGGGGGGAAACATTTTAAAATAAGAAAAATGACCGTTTCGAATAAAATATCGATCGTACGTCAATTATTAAAATCATTTCCGGTCGTTCGATATTGACCAGTACAAGTATTTTTTTTTTAATCGTTATACCTTTGAACTCCCACAAAAAAAAAAAAAAAAAAAAAAAATTAACTGGAAAAAAAACACAAATAATTTCATCGATCATCATCATCATCATCATCATCATCATCATTATTATCATTATCATCATCACCGTTATCGATTGAGACTCCTGACGTAAATTTTGAACGTTAAAAATAAAAAATAAAATCGTTAAATGACGGCATAATTGTATTATGTATATGCGTAAATAACAAACGATCTTATTATCATTATCGATCCGTATCGATCAATTTCGTCTATAACGTTATAGTTAAGTTTTTTCGTCTGCTGTAAAAATTAATAAACGAACGGTTTTCTTTTCTATTTTTTTTTATAGAGCCGAACGCGCGTTCATAAATTTATTTATTGATTTTTAGTTATGAATAATTTACAATAATTTTTTTTTTCTTTGCTCGGATTTATAAAAAAAAAAAAAAACCGGATATTGATTTTTTTTTGTCTTTACCCCCCCCCCCTTCCACCCCCGCACTCCCCCCCCCGAAACATTTATTTATGACCGCGTTCGCGCGTGATTTATCTCTCTTATAAAATATTAAATTATTTTATTTCATTAATTAAAAAAAAAAAAAAAAAAAATTGGAATCGAACGTTTACGAACGCGTACTTCCTTTTAAATTTTTCTATTATTATTATTATTATTAATATTATTATCATCAGTGACGTTTTTTTTTAAAAACGCGTGCGTACGTATATGTACATTAACATGTTAAAAATAATTTGAAACGCGTTCGGAAGCTGGAGAGACGATTTGTAGAGAGAGAAAGAAAATAAAAATCGAATGAGGCTTAAAAAACAAATATTTACGTAAAAGAAAACTGAAATTGGGTAATCGAAAAAGAGGAATGACGTCACGGGACACGTGGAGCTTTCTCTGATGTCATGGCGTAAATTAAATGACGTCAAAACTTTTATTGTCCATGTAATAAGGGCGTATGCGACACGCGAACCCAACGGCAAAGAAAGAAAGAAAGAAAGAATTTTCCCGCTCGGAAAATTTTTATTTTTTTGTTTTTTTCGTTTTTCCCGGTTTTCGTACGAATTTTTTTTAAAAATAATATTTATAAATAATTAATAATAATTTTTTTATCGTAATAATTTAATAAATTTTAATTTTTTTTTTGAGAAAAATAAAAAAAAATCGAAATGAAAAAGTTAATAATGTATTAGAAAACGACGAGAACGAGTTTTCGATTCGAATGACGTCATAACTCAAAATCGGTTTCGTCGGGGAAATTTTTTTTTAAATTCGCGAACATTCTAGAATAGTTTTTTTATTTAATTTTTGACTATGAATAAAAAATAATTATTTTTTACCCCCCCCCCCCCCGAATTATCATCGAATTAAAAAAATTTTTTTTTTTTTTCTGAAAATTTGCGCCATTTTTATTTGTTTGAAAATTTTTGGCGGGTAAGTTTTTCGTTTGTAGAATTTTCCATCGGATTTTTCGCGAGATTTTTTTTTTCCTCCTTTATGAAATTTATGAAAATTTTTTACGCGAAATGAGATTTCTTAATAAAAAAAAAAAAAAAAAAACTAATAATAATGATGATGATAATAATAATAACGATAAAATAAAATAAAACAGTTTTCACGCGAGTTGTTTCCTTTTTACATAAAGTAGAGTTTTCCGCTCGCAGAGAAATTTCGAGAAATTAGGTCGGTGCGCATTGGCTGGTGACCCATCTCGGGTCTTGCACGTGTCGAGAAAGAGCCTTCTAACAATGAAAGAGGTCAGTAGGTCATTCAAGGATAACCTAAATTGTGGTGGGGGTAATGTGAATGAACCAAACTGGAGGAGAAATTTTATTTCGTTGATAAAAATTCAGCATCCCTTTTTATTCATGGAAGAAATATCACGTAGACTCTCTCTTTAGAAAAGCGAGGTCGTTTCTCTCTCTTGTACGATTCATAAATTTTCTTTCGGTTAAGGGAAAAAAAAAAAAAAAAATTTTCTTTTTTTTTTTTTTTTCTTTACGCGGTTTATTTCAGGTTCGGGGTATTATCACCACCACTACCATCGCTACGACTACCAACGAGTACTACTACCTACTACTACTACTCGCGAGTTATAATAAATTTAAAAAAAAAAAACGGTTTTTTCTTTCATAACAATTTGTTCCTGTTGCTAATACATTCGGTTTTTCTTTTCTTTTTTAGTTTTTTCTTGTCTTCCGGAGGAAAACATTTAATTTTCATAATCAATATTGAAATACGTCATACATTGGAAAAAAAATCCCCTTTTGAAAAAGTGGTCACTCGCAAATCGAATTCGTATACTTTCATTACATATAAAGTGATTTAAATTTTCTTTTTCGGAAAATTTTTAAGTGATTTAAAAAAATTTTTTTTTTGTAAAAAGTTTTTTTTTTACGGTAAAGTTTGGTGACTTTAGAACAACGACAATTTCATCACCGATACAATCGACGAGTTTGTTTCGAAATTGTTTTTTTTTAAAAAAATTTGTGGTAAGTGAAAAAGGGAAAAAAAAAAAAAAATTTTTAACTTTATTAATAGTTTTCCTCAAGGGTGGTGATATCGCGAATCATACGTCATACGAACAGTCAGTCAGTCAATCAATCAATCAAAGACGATTTCATTCATTTTGAATAAAATTTAAATTTTTAATTTCAGGTAAGAACCTTTTGTGTTTGAATGATAGGTGACGTTAACCGAAAAAAAATTTTTTACCGCCGCGGTAAAATTGTTATTGTTTAATTTTTTATGAATGAAATTTTCAAAAAAAAAAAAAAAATGGCTTCTTATTAAAACGATTACATAGAAATTGTTGATTAACCCGTCGTAATGTAATAATTTACAAGTCAAATACTCGTTACCGGATTAAAAAACTTTTTTTTTTTTAAAATAATTTTTTAAAATTAAAACTATCGAATATTGCGTGTGCGTGTGTGCGTGTGTGTGCGCGTATTTTCGCAATATTGAATTAAACAAAAAAAAAAAAAAAAAATTTATAAATGTCACCGGTGCACGAAATTTAAAAAAGTTAATTTTAATAAAAACTTTTTATAAAATCGTCTCGAACATTCTTTACGAAAAAAATCGCCACCATATTCTAAAAATCCTCCGACGGTTAATAATAATGATAATATTAATAATTTTTTTTTTTTATTTCAGCGAAAAAAATTTTTTCGAATCGTCAAACTTTTAGAAAAAAAAACCGTTACGAATAATCGAAATCGGGTAAGTATTCGTGAAAATTTTCCGAGTTTTCTTTTTTCTTTTCCATCTCCCACAATTTAAAATCGTTATAAATAAATAAATAATAATAATATTCGTTTAAATTCAAAGGGAATTTTTTTTTTAAGTAGTCATTTCGAGGGATTCTTTTTTTTAACTAAGTTACGTCGAAAAACTAAAAAAAAAAAAAAAAAAGAAAACTGGAAAAAAAAAATAAACCCCCGAAATTTTTTTTTTAAGGTTTCTAAAAAGTAGTTAAGACTATCAGTTTCATGCCACGCTTTTAAAATATATAAAAAAAAAAAATTTAGGCGCGATATAGAAAATTTTAAAGCAAAAAAAGGCAAAACCGAAAATTTTTTCCCCTTTTCAAATTTTTGTAAATGTTTTGTTTTGTTTTTTTTTTTTTTTTTTTTTTTTTTTCTCAGGAAAAACCGAAAGATGAAAAATTAAAAAGAAAACTTATTTCAAAAAATTACGTAAAATTAATAACGATAATGATAATTTTTTTAGAACGTACCTACAACGAAAAGAAATTCGAAACGATTTGAAGGGAGTGCGACAAACTACTACCTACTACCCCTTTGTAAAAAAAAAAAAAAAAAAAAAAGGGAAAAAATCCACCGTTATAGAGTCGGGTGAACTGTTTCCTGTTGTTAACTGAAACTTCCTTAAGAAGCCAAATATAAAAATTGGATTAATACGTAATTACCCTTACGAGTATAAAAGGGGTTGAATGAAAAACCGATGGAAACATTTCAACAAACGATTTCATATAACGAACATGATGATTTTAAAAAAAAAAAAGTTAAACCGGATATGTCGAATTTTCGAATCGAAAAACTAAACAAACAAAATGGAAACGGTGAAACGGTTTTTTGTTTTTTATATGAAGTGATGTTGTTTAGATGAACAAACGGATTTATTTTAATATGTTACTCACCCACACGATGATGAAGGATGTTTGTTTCGTTTTGCACAAGGAAAACCCATGGCAGCTGCTGGACACAGCCCAAGATTAGTTTAAGACTCTTGTGCGTGAACATCAGCTAGTGTGGGGTTTCAACACGGCATAAAGTGCAAAAAAAAAAAATTTTCTTCTGCTACTGTTGTTTTTTTTATAAAACCTGAAAAATAAAAAAAAAATTGTCATTTAATCATGGAATCACGAATTTGTTGTTGTTTGTTTGTTTGTTTATCAATTATTTCTCTCTTTT